TCCCTGCTGGGCGATCCACTGGGCGATGCGGTTCCGGAGCATGAACTCCGCGACGTAGTGGGCGATCCGGCGGAAGAAGCCTGGCATGCCGTGCTGGCAGACGTGGATGGCCATGTGGTACCCGAAGCCCAGCAGCGCAATCACCCGGCCCCAGTTAATGCCGCTCTCGAACAAGCTGAAACGAAGCCGACGGTCTGGTTACGTCAGTGCCATGGCTCAGATGTCCCTGCTCTCTGCATCCCTGCGTTGCCCTGGCCACGGGCTCTCGAGCAGTGCCGGTTGCAGAGCAGGGACGGGGATGCTGCACTAGTCCTCGAGGCGCACCCCAGCCGCACAGACAACGTAGTGATTTCGTGGCTAAAAGTGACACGCGGCCGCCAATAACCAGATGCACTTCCAGAGCAGAACAAACGCGGTCTTGGTCACAACTGCTGTTTGCCTCAGCCAGGTGCGTTAGGGATGTCCTAGGGAAAAGGAGTTTCCAAATCCCGTCTACACAACTACAGGCTCTGAACTGCCGGAGGGGAAGCTTTGGGGTGGCTGTGGTTGACCTGCCACCTTCCTGCCCGGCCTGCCTTGCCCTCAGGTCTCCACCCGAACGCAGGGTGTTCACGTGTTGTCATGGGCAGGGTATGAAACGAGGGAAGCTGGAACCGGGGGTGGTTTAAGCCGTCAGGCTGTAGGCTGCAGCGAGCTCAGTAGCTGCTACACGCAGGAGCAGGAACGACCACCCACCTGTCCCCAAGCATCCCTCGCTTGTGCCTGGAGGTAAGGCAGTTTACATATATCTAAGGACAAAGCAGGTTAGAACGGGATTTCCCCTTTTCCTGCATAGAAAAACCCCTCTTGACCAAACCCTGATCTGATCTTGCCTTACACTGACACTCCCAAGGGCTGGGGGGCGGCTCCGAAATGTGCCTGCTCGATGCCTACTGCTCCCGATCCAGGGTTTGGGCACAAACTGCATCACTGTGGGCACGTTTGGCACTGATTTATCTAGACTGGGTTTTGAAGGTGTTTTTCCTGGTTTCCAGCAAGACAAGCAAGAAGGGAAAAAAAGGACAAAAAAAGTTTTACAAGAGTAGACTCAGCCCCTGTGTTTTTAATCTCGTGCCCTGTTCCTGGCGGTCCCTGACTGCACAGCCGAAGGGAACTGTCTTCTCTGCAGAGCCTTGGCCTGGAGCTGCCACCGTGCCGGCCGCAGAGGGAGAGGGAAGTTGGAGCCCGGGAAGGAACAACAGCAGAACAGGTAGCACAAAGAGAGGGACAGAGGTTAATTTACCTGTTTGCGGTGCGTTAACCGCCTCAGGCTGGCAAAGCGGTGAAAACAGCGCAGCATGGCTTCCCAAGGACAGGGGAGCAGGAAAAGGACAGAAGAGAGCAGTTAGACAACAAACACCGAGCGGAGGGTGCACGGGGACGCGGCTGCGCCGGAGCCAGGCGCGCTCGGAGGAGCGACGGGAGCCTGGGACCTGGAAACCCAGAGACCCCGGCTTCTCTCCTGGCTCTGCCAGAGGTCTTCTGCATGACCCTGGGCAAATCATTTAACGTGCATAGCATCTCGCTTTCCCCACAGACAGAGAGGGGTGAGGACTGAACCCCCTGACGGCCACCTCGATCCAAGCCTGTACCTCAGGCCGTCAGGGCAATGAGTTGTCCGGATATTTGCCTTTGCTCTTCACCCTGTTGCTGTGCTTGGAGTGGGAGGGCTGGGTGCGCATCGCCTGCACGAGGTGGCTGCGGGTCTCCAGAGCATCCCGCATCCGGAGTTGGTCTGATCCTGTTCCTTGTGGGCCACACCAAGGGCAGCGAGTTCCTGCCCCTCCCCGCAGCCCGCAGCTGTGTTTGCTTTGTGCCTCCCGACCCATCGGGACTTCCCAGCTACCAAGCAAGCGGCAGCGGGACCGGCAGCAGGGTCGTACCCCTGAACGGGACCTGGGACATTTGCACGGGCCACGCTTCCCAGGCACGTCCCCCAGACTTTCTGAGCGCGGTCAGCTTGTGCAAGGACTGAGATGATTGTCACCTGAAGACTGTCCAGACAGTGCGCAGGAGCAAGAGCAGACAGGCAGAAAACACAGGAACCATCACGATGAGCTTGCTGGAAGCTCAACCCAGAGACAGTGGGTGAAGCTTGAACGGACACGGTCTGTGTGCCGGGGCTGCTCCGGGGCGGGGGCCAGGGCTTCGCCGACTGCAGTGCACCCTGCCTGACCTTTCCTTCCCTGTTCTCCTCCAGGAGAAGGCATCCTGCCCACGCCGAGGGCGCCAGTGGCCTTACCTGGAGGCTATCCTGGTGAAGTACTCGTAGGCATTATCCTTGGTGGGCTGCAAGGATTTCAGCATGTAGCGAAACTCCGCGTCGTACCGCTCGTTAATGTCGTCACCAATGATGGCCAGGCGCCTTCCCACCAGGCTCCCGGTGCTGCCCAGAGGGAAGACGGCATTATGGATGGGTCTGCCGTCCCAGCAAGACCAGTAAGCAGGACCGAGGGATGGGTCTGTAATGGAGCCTGGCTCGGGATGGGGTTGAGGGACGTGCACGTGGTTGGTATCAGAGTTTTACCTGCCCACCTCCTGCTGGATCTCCTCAATCTCTGCGTCCATGGGCACTTCCTCCCCTCTCTCCTCTCTCTCCTGTTGGTAGCGGTAGAAGGCATAGCTCCGAAACACCTCCTCCGTCTCCTCTGCCACCTGGTCTTCTGCAAGAGACAAGAGGAAGAAAAGTCAAGGGAGAAGATTGTCTCCCCGCTTTCCCAAGTTGGACAGAGACCGTTCCCTCATTTTCAGCCTAAATTTGTGCTGTTTGTATTAACAGTGGCCTTTCGCAGTAAAACAAAAAGAATCCAATGTAAATTAGTTCTCAGAGAACTAATTTTGAAGCCAGTGTTCGTTCTTAGGTGCAGAGGCCCACCTTTGGAACCTCTTGTTGGCAAGAGACAGGTACAGGACTGTCACAACGCAAACCAGATGTTCAAGTGCTTGTGCTTGGCAGCTCCCTTACCTCTTGATAAGGGCACTGCTCAGCACAAACGAGTTCAGGAATCTCAGATCCAAACCCAAAGTGGAGGCAAAGCTCCGGCTAGCGCTGCCCATCAACCCTCAGCGAGCAATCTTGTTTTTCATTGTCCCCAACGATCGTGCCCTTGCGTGGCATCAGCAATGACGTGGTGAGCAAAAGTTAAATTGGTCATTTTAGTGTAATTCCTTGCTGATTCAATCACACATCACTGGTCTCACACACACCCATCAGCCCGGCAGCGGCAGAGCCAGGGCAGGGTTTGCAACTTCTGCACGGGCTGCTGACAGGAACAGAAAGGAGAAGAGCTTTTGAATAACTCATAAACCGTAACCCAGACTGGTGACTCCCCATCCTGCGCTTGAAAGCGGATAAACAGCCAGGTGATAAGCTTGAACTGAATGCCTGCTCCAGCACACCCATTGCCACCGCATGAGAGCAGACACCCAAATCCCCTGCTTTGCTAGCAAACACCCGTGGGAGCAATAAGCCCATTGCACAGCGAGCAGCCGGGCAGGGGA